TTTGGGGGCCTTTTTTTATGATTCAACTATTGTCTTATCTATTGTCTTATCTTATGGTATATTGATATCAAATGCATATTAAAAAAATTCTCTCTCTTTAATTTAATCATTGCAAACTGTAATAGCATAAATTCTTTTATTAATAATATCATAGAGCTGTCTTGATATTGAATTATCATGAACAATTGGATTTTCTAATATTTTAACATACAGAATTAAATAGAAAATCCTCTGAAAATTGACAGTTCTGTAAACATAAAATATGAAAAGCCTAAGTCCTTCCAATAACAATGTTTTAATGAAATAAGAATGTTTTTGACAACCTCCTGAGATCTGCATCAGGTTCAAAGATACGAGTTCTGTAATGGAATGTATGAAATGGAACATCTGCAGGATTCAAAATTACATTGTTAAAATTTGAAAAGATTATAAACATTTAGCAGAGTTTAAATTTATCTATTTAAATTCAAATTTTACAGAATGTTTTATAAATCTCTCAAGACACACACTCAAGGAAGGTTAGACATAGCTGGAGATGTTGATGTTACTAGTGAGGTCAACAAAGAACCTCACTAGTACAGGAAATGCTTGTTTGCACTTCTTGTTATTAAATAAAAAGGCACTTATGTGTAAGCCATGCATACCGTCCACACCATGTATATGTTGTAGCAACACCATGTTTAGATACAGGGTTTCATAGAGTTTGCAGTAACTCCTGTAGCATGTGGTGGCTGCGGCATTGGTCAAAACACAAAAAAAGCATGGATGAATGAATAGTCAGCGTAGAGGTATTTAGTGAAATAACAGGGTTGTGGAGTCGCGTAAAAATCTACCGACTCCAACTCCGACTCTTCTTAACCACCCGACTCCGATCAGGGGCGGACTAGTTACCGAAAGAAGCACGGAAATTCTGAGGTCATTACGTGACCTCAGAATAAAAGATTCAATAAACAAAGTTCTAATAAAGATAGAACATAGAAACTTTTTATTTCAAAGCTAAAAGACTCCTCTGAGTAATATATAACTATGTATTCGATAATTTTTACTTTTCCGGCTGTTATACATAACAGAGAATATATAACAAAGTGTAGAGCTCGGTCAAAAAATGACCTCTCCTAAATTTTTACATTTCTGGACTCAGAACACCTTGAAATTTCGAGTTAATTAAGCAAAAGATTCGAGGTTTTTTCTATATGTGTGGATGTTAGACTGGGGGGGGCATGATTTTGTTCACCCCGTTTGAAGCCTAATAATTTCTGTGGTCAAAGTGGTCAGAATCGGAGCTGGATGGTTTAACACAAGAGTTAGTTATTAAGCATCAAAGTGGTTGAACTAAATCTCCATACACATTCTAACATCTTAAGCGAGAACATCTTAACAGGTTTTACTGTACTATTATAAAATGGCTAAAAAGCTTACTTTGAGGGTAGAGACGAGTTTTATTTTATTTTTTTAAAATTTGAATGCTAATAACGAGTAAAATATTCATTAAGAGATATGACACATGACCACTTTTATGTCTTCACCCTGTCGACGTTTCATTAAGAACCAAAATTTAATAGTATTAATGCCCCTTTATACGCAAGCTACAGTGCCACATTTTGTTTCTTAAACTTTACTCATTCTGAGATATTGTTTAATATCTCAGAACAGAAAATAAAGAAATTAAACAAATTAGATGCCAATACACACACGCACGCGAATTTTTCCCCTTTTATTGATTTTTTTGAGGGGTTCAGGAGGTCTCCAAACATGTAGATTTGCAAAAAACTTCAAGGGTCAAATTTGACATGATTTCAATACTTTTCTGTTTTATATACATAACAAGTTGGTAAGTAAAAAGGAGTCGGAGTCGGTGGATTTTTTGATGACTCCGACTCCGGCTAAAATACCAAAACTCCACGACTCCGATTCTGACTCCACAGCCCTGAAAATAACAAAGGTTTATATATGACTCTAACCACACTTAATACAGACTATACATATACAACACAAATTCCGGTCCCATTGAAAGTTTTGTTTACATTCACACCTTATCCTATCCTTCCTCCTCTGCGCGAGGCTCCTTCAATACCAAACAAGAATACAAATTAATAGTGTGAAAAAACAAAAGCAAATTGAAACATAAAAATACGTGGTATGATCCAAAAGTTCAGGGACTGCAGTAATGTATGACAACGAAAGCATGCATTTAAAGTTACAGCATATGAAATGGATTTTATCAAACCACCCTTACGTGTTCAGGTTGATTTCACCCATGTCACATGATTAAACCGCAAGTGCTGTTGTTTTTTTCGGAGATAGTTACCTTTGTTTTGCGACATAATAAAAATGGTGTTTCACGAACAGCGCTGCAACATTAAGTTTTGTCAGCTTTTAGGTAAAACACCTATGGAGACTTTAAAATTGCTAAGAAAGGTGTATGGTGATTCTACCATGGTGAATTCAAAGGTGTACAAATGACATCGGCATTTTAAAGACGGCCGAGAATCCATCGCAGATGATGAACGCTCTGGCCGACTTTCGACTTCACAGAACAAGGAAAATGTTGAGTCGGTCTCTCAATTATCTAGACATTTTACGTCATTTGAGGGAATCCATTCGTCGTAAACGGCCGCAGATCTGGCGAAATGGAGACTGGTACCTTCTGCATGACAACACACCTGGCACATCAGTCCCAAATGGTCACACAGTTTCTCGCCAAATCTCAAATTAATGTGCTTCCACACCCCGCCTATTTACCGGACTTAGCCCCGTGTAATTTTTATTTGTTTCCATCAATGAAAAATCATTTGCAGGGACGCCGTTTTGTGTCATCAGATGAGGTGTGAGCAGCATCGCAGGAGGCCTTACGGGAGGTTTCAAAAAATGGCTTCCAGCAGTGCTTCCAGAAGTTATATGAGCGCTGGCAAAAGTGTATCATTGCCCAAGGTGATTACTTTGAAGGTGGTTGTGCATCAGCAATATAAACTTTTTAAGGTAGGGAATTTTAAGCCAAGTCCCCGAACTTTTGGATCGTACTACGTATATGAATGAATAAAAATCAAAGGGTCCAATGACTTTTCAGCTAGTCCTTTATTCCTTTTTGTCCTCTTTTTCTTTCTTCATTCATATTCCACTTGGATGGAGATGGCTTCTCAAACGGTGTTGTTCTTTTCTGTTTTCTAGTATGGTTGTCCTTCCTGACCTCTACTTCCTTTCAGATTGACTGTTGATCTCACTCATTTGGTTACTATGACTTTTGTTGCCCCAATGAGCTCTGCTGTGTCATCCAATTACCAGGAAAAAAAAAGCTGAAAAAGTCCCTCTCATGTAGATTCACACCATATTTGTATCCCGCCAGAAGAAACCACGCTGTCCCATGTGACCAACTCTTTGGCCAATCCCCATACTTTATACCCTATTAGCTGGAACTGGTGGTATGACGGAAGGAAATGGAAGAGGATGTGTATAATAATGGGAGATGATACCACACAAATGAAATAATAAACAAAAAATATAATGACAATACAAAATAGCTGTGAAGTGCTATAAGTTAGTCCCCTGATTGAACATTCTGATTTCTAATATCTCTCATGACTTGATTTTTCAGTTGTTTCTAAGTGAAATTAGATCATTTTGACTGCAAGAAGAGTTCAACATTGATAATTAATTTGATGCTGAATTTGAATCCAATTGAAGATGATCTTGGAACCCCAATGTGTTGAAATCCAATAGTATATACCTCTTCCTTACTGTTATTTCAAAATCCAAAACTATTTGTAATTTTCAAAGGTAAACAAATTAATAAAAATTTATTTTATATTACTATTAAAAGAGGGGTTAAAGTGAGCACTTGCACAATGTTCTAGCCCTCACAAATATGCAATGTAAGTCTGCTACTGCCACTGAATACCAAAACTTCACTATTATTGAAAGTTTTGAATATAAAAGTTTAATAAATTATAAAAGTTAGTAACAAGATGTTTAGTCTAGCTTTTATAGTTTAATAAACATTATAATTACTTGTTACTAACTTTTATAATTTATTAAACACTATAATTGCTTTTATTAAAACAATACAGCACAAACCTGAACAGAATAATTTGTAAATGGTTCTAAATTTTCAAATATATATTGACCACCTTCATTTCCATTGTTGTTCACTGAAAAACTTTTTGTATCCAATTCATTATCAGTTGGCCAAATATGAAGTCGATATTTCACTATGACACCATTAGGTGGATAAGGAGCATTCCATTTTATGATCAGTTTATCTTCTGAAACCAATTCTATTNTTCCTTGTTTAATTTTAATATATATATATTTACTTTAAATTGAGCTTCTTTATTTAATTTTATTTTATTCAGTCCGACCCTCACAATATAATTAAATTTATTCAGTTTGTTTGTCAAATATCTGATAGGATAATACAATAAACGAAAAATGATAAACTCCGTTCCTAGCATTGTAAGTTTTGAGAAAAACTGCAATTTGAATTTTATAATAATATGGCTGATACCTTGAAAACAGTTGTGTTTAAGAAAGTGTGACCTGTTATAGATAGGTATTCATTATGCTGCATGATTTTCATATAGTGGTCAAAAAGTATCCTTGTAATTTAAAAAACACCTATTATATTATATATTTCTTGATTTTCAAGGCCATTAATATTGTCCCCCAGTCAGCTCTATAGACTTGGTTACTAGCCTGATCTTACAATCTTTAATTTAAGAATATCTATTGAACCCAACCAGTGAATCATTATTGTACGTGTAATTTGAAGCTTCATAAGTCAATAAGTCAGAAAGTTTCACAGGCAGGATAGTGTATTAGGGGAATTCCTGTTCTTAGATTTTGTTGTTAGAGGCAAAGATAGAAGGGGTCATTTTTCATTTGTCGAATGGGACTAAACTCAGGGAAGGTTTTACTCGTTAGCATTTCCAATTTTTTATGAAACTCGACTCTACCCTCGAAAGTAAGTTTTTTGTTAATTATAATATTTATATATATAACTTAAGATCAGAGTTAATACAAGTAATATTTCTGTGGAAATCTGCAGTGAGCCCTTTCTTGGATCACCCTATTTGCAAAGTCAGACCCACAGGGTCCACCCACTCTGTCAGTGGACGGGATGTTGAAAATTTTTGTCTTAAGAAAATTGGAAGATCTTCCCTAAATTCCTGACCAGCCAAAATTGTTGCATTTGGCTCTCAATCTGAGTTTCTTATAATTTCATCTGACTATGGACTCCCAATAAAGCATCCAGCATATATTTTGTGAAACATCAAGACCAGTTAAACAATCAACAACAAGTTTAATAAAAATCTTAAAAAGTTGTGCCACCCAGACCCCAAGCCAGTGATTGCTTCCAGACATACTTAAATTTCAATATAACCTTCCATGGTTACTAACGGTGCTGGCTGGAGACTTCTTCTACATCCATGGCCAATAAGAATCTCCTCTATGGCACTCAGCCAGTTATCGTCTTAAAAAGGAAGCGAAATACAACCACACTAGATTAAATCAAACTTGACTACTAACTAACATCTAGGTTCAATGCAAGAGCGAGAGTTTACATTTGTCTAAGCATAATACCTCTTTCAGTTCAAGGATGGTGGTCTTCTTGGATTGTAGTGGCAACGGCAGAGTAATGGGAGTTTGTGGAGACGTTTATTGGTTGACTTTCGAGAGAGCGAGCCCCGATACTGGGGTGCTAGCCCCTTATATCTTGTGGCCCCTTCCAATCAGTGGCCACTTTTTAACAATATGACAGGATATTCACCATGACTCAAGTTGACAGATGTTTGTCAAAATGGGCAATAAGATCTCGCCCTGAAAAGTCAATAGTGAAGAAAAGAAAACTTGATTTCCCTTTTACTCAACTTTTGTCCACCAATGTACAAAAATGTGCCATTTTTAACACAAAAATAATATTTCAGTTTTTGAATTATCTAATAAAATTTATTCCCTATCTCCAAAATCACACATTTCTGTCAGATTATAGAATGTTAATATGTAAATAAGTAACTGAAAAGCTTATTATTTACTATGTAGATAATAATTATAAACTGTTCATATATCTGTACATAGTGTTACATAATCTATATTATGTGTTACTGTATCATTTTTTTAATGGTACTTTATAATTAATGTGAAGCTAAATGATGCTGGATATATTAATAGCACGATATAATCCAGAAAGTTTTTGGCTTTAACCTAATATGGGTTTCGGTATGCTTATATTTGTATAATTAATGTAAGCTGTTAATCAAATTAATATAACAACATTTTAAAATAAGTAAACATTTAATATTGTAAAACTTTGTATTACCATCTTCAGCTGTTCTAGCATAAATTTCTTCAGAAAATGGTCCACCACCTACTTTCGTAAGAGCTCTTACTGTAAATACATATTCTTCATAAGGAAGAAGTCCAAGAATAGTTACTTTAGTATCTGTAAAGTTTTAAATTTATTTCATATGAAATGTTAGACATAAATTCCAGTTATCCAAAGAAAAATAAAAAGCCTAATCTTTACATTCCTTTTTATTTAATCAGATCAAACACAAAATTAATGCAGGATCTCGCCTTGATGCAGTGAAAAATAAATCAAAATAAATCATAATAATTGTGTTATCTTTAAAACTGATATCTAAATATTTGGGCAATTCTTTATGTTGTTATAAATTTCCAATTTTTATCAAAACAAAAATCATTTCATAATTTTCAAAATGTTTTCTTTATTAAAATTTCTAAAAATCATATTTAATTTTTTTAAATGTCAATTACAACAGAGTTTTAATATTTGACACTATACAGGAGCGCTTTGTTTGTCATGGAGATTGGTGTGTTTTCGATTACACTTTGGTTCATTGGTAAATATTTTGCCCATTTTGTTTTTCCTGATTTTGTTTCTACAATGTTTAACTTAAAACTGACTCAATTATTACTACTAATGTCTGGTATTGATCCAAACCCAGGACTGCTTCAAAACATGCCAACCAAAAGAGGTAGACCTCCAACAAACCGAGTTATGCAATCTTCACTTAACATTAAACCAGCTGAAGGTGAAAACAACTTAATTACTGATTATACTCAACAACGAAGAGTTGAATCGACTAATTTGGTAAGTGAAAATCCTACTTTGGATCCTTCTTTGGCCAATTCAAATATGAAATTATCTGACACTACAACTTCACTTCTCTGGACGAAGATAGTTGATTTGATCACGTCTAGTAATGAAAGAATAGAAAGTCAATTTTCTCTAATTTGCAAAGAAATTTCTACTATTCATAATGAAACTAGTGACTTTACTGGTCAACTACATACAATTAGGGATAGAAATGATAAATTTGAATTCGAACTTAAAAAACTAAAAAATAAGAATGAACTTCTTCAATTTAAGATTGATGCAATGCATAATAAACTAAAGAATAATAATTTTATAATATATGATCATTCTAAAATATTTACTGATGAGAATGAAGAGGACATACTGAACTTTTTAAATCATTCACTATATATCCCATGCAAAATGAACGAAGAAATTAAATCAATCTGTAATATTCCTAATTCAAAGATTAATATCAAATGTTTAACTTTAAAATCTGATCAATTGAGAAATAAAATTATAATCACCTTCAATAAACAAAAACAAAATAATTCGTTGGGACCATGGAAAAACTTAAACATGTCTGTAGATTTGGTTGTGAATTCTCGTAAGAGAAGAAAAGCTTTATTACCTTACTATATCGATTTAAAAAAACGAAATATACAGGCTAAATTATGAGATGATTTTCTTCTAATCAAACAGAAAAAAAAGTAACTTACAGTTTCTTAATAAATCAATTGGTATATGCAGAGGATTTTTTAGAATATACGACTTAAACAACTCTGTTAATTGTCAATCTCCAATAATACTCAATAATGAAGCTAATTACAATAAAAATCCTATCTAAACATAATAAATTGGAACTGTAATGGCTTATTGAAAAAAATTAATAATATTGAATTTAGATATTTATTAAATAATACAGACATAATGGGTCTAATGGAAACCTGGTTGACTTTGCTCGATAAAGGATTAAAAAATAATTATACGGAATTTACTGTTATATCAACTGTGGCGCAAAAACCAGTTGGGCCTGGTCGTCCATATGGTGGCTTAAGTTTATTCATCAAGAAAAATATAGGTCTAATTAAGAATATAGAGAAAAACGATAATTGTATATCAGTTTTAATCCAAATTACCAATCCACACCTACAGTTCTTGCTAAACAGATTAATAGCCATTATATTAGTTTATATCCCTCCAGATCAACTTCAGATTTTAAATGCTATTTTTAAGCTCAGAACAATGGAAAATCATTACCCCATATATTATAATAATAGGAGATTTAAATGCGAGAATATCTCAAAAAATGGATATGGAATACAAGGGACCTAATCTAGCGATTCAAAATATTCGTAAATCAAAAGACAAAAAATATAACAAATTAGGACTTCAATTACTAGAATATATGGATCAACTACAACTATATATTTTGAATGGCAGAATTAAAAATGATTACATGGCAGAATTTACTTGTTTGACCAATTCTGGCTGTTCAACAATAGATTTAATAATATGTTCAGAACTAATTATTGACTTATGTAGGCGGATTCAACTATTAAACTACGAACTTTCTGATCATTTTCCCATAAAAATGTTTATTCAAATAACAAAAAATCAACTATATAAGTCTGAATCAATATCACATCAAATAATCAAATATAACTGTCAACAATATCAACTTTCGATTAGTAAAAGAATTAGATATTTACTGAATTACGTTCCAACGAAGGGAATGGAAAAATATTTTTGACTTGAACGAGTAATAAAAGAATTTATACAAACACGTAAATCAAAGTGTAATATATCATATAAATTCAAGAAGCCATGGTTTGATTTGATTTATTACAAACTTAAAATTCAGAAGAATAAAGCTCTAAAACAATTTAGAATATGTGATTCAGACGAATCGTTTAACCATTATAAACAACTAAAAACATCATATTTCAATCTACTAAAAGTAAAAAAGTCAAACTATTTCAAAAATCTACATCAACGAATGCTAGCAAACAAAAATAATCTACTTTTCTGGTCAACAATTCAAAAATTGTGGAAAACTTATACATAACGTCAACCAGATATAGACATCTCAATATGGTCTGACTACTTTAATAGATTTCCGTTTATTGAAAATCCATCAAATAATCACCAAACAACCCTAACGAATGATTTGTTTGATTCACTTCTTACATATGATGAACTGAAATACTCTATTAGAAAATTAAAACTAAAATCATCGCCAGGTCCAGATTTAATTACTAATAAATTTATCAAACTTTTACCTCCGTCAGGAAAGCAATTATTACTTGAAATATTTAACTAATTTTACGATCACTCAATTTATCTGACATCATGGAATGTCGTCAAATTACTCATAATTTACAAAAAAGGAAATAGATTAGCACCAGAGAACTATCGACCCATTGCACTCTTATCAACTATAAGAAAATGTTTCACATCCATATTGGCATTACGCTTTCAAAAATGGACTACAATCCAAAAACTAAATTTGAATTTCCAATTTGCTTTTATCAAATCTAAAAGAACTGAATCGACCATATTCTTGTTAAATTCATTAATTCAAATATATTTAAAGAAAAAAACGAAGAAAAATTTTTGCTGCATTCATCGACATTATGAAAGCTTTTGATTCTATACATGTACCTTCTTTGGTTAACAAATTAAAAATATTTGGGGCAGGTACCAAATTTGCAACTACAGTTAAGAATCTTTTTTCTTCATATAAAATCAATATTGTTTACGGTAATCAGCGATATCCTGAAATTACTATAAATCAAGGAATATTACAAGGTGAGCCATTGTCACCTTATTTGTTTAACTTTTATATTAATGATATAGATAAGTTGTTTTTAAATGATTCAGAAGGCATTTATATATATGAAAAAAAATATCATTACATACTATATGCCGACGATCTGGTTTTATTGGCCCCAACCAAAATTACATTACAACATAAGCTTAATAAAATTAACGATTATCTGAAATCTATTTTTTTATCGATCAATATTGATAAATCAAAAATAATAATTTTCAGAAACAACATTAAACTTGCAAATCAAGAAAAATCCTTTTATATAGATGATAAACCGTTAGAATTGGTCAATAATATAAAATACTTAGGTATGACTTTCAATTGGAATGGTAAATTTCAGATGCATTTGAAATACCTCAATAAAAAAATCAATCAACTAATAAATAATACTCTCTATTTGGGTGCTAGTCTAAAAATCTTGAATTTGGATCTTCATATGAGAATGTTTAATTCAATAATAATGCCAGTTATTCTATATGCCAGTCCGATTTGGGCCATTGATTTACTTTATGAATTGGAAAAATTTCATATTATATATTTACATAAACTATTTAAACCGAATGTACTGTACCAGGATATGCTATATGCTCAGAATCAAACAGATGTCAACTTTTTCCCTTCGCGAAAAGATTAATTAAATTTTATTACCATTTACTAAACTCAAAAGATGAAAACATTAAATTTTTATTTCATACTAGCTTACACGTTGCGCATTGTTGCGATCTCAGAAGAAACGAAATTCAAGCAAACTTGTTATGATAAAATTCAATTTACATTTTATCATTTTCATTGAAACTTATTATTATTCATTTTCATTGAGAAAACATTTCAGTGTCGTTTCAATTCTATTTATTTATTGGAGTGCTTGTGAATATGCGATATTTTTTGTTTTTTCGTCTGGTGCGTACACGAATAAATCAGAAGGTTTTCCGACGCGTGAGCTGGCCACATACAGTTGTCCATGCGAGAAGCATGGATTCTCCAAATTTAGCCCACATACTCACAGAGATTGTTAGAAGTGCGATATTCCTCATTTTTATATATATTTTTAAATCCTTTATAATTTTGATTATTTAATTGCTCCTTCCTCTCTTCCTTGGCATGTTGTGAAATTTCTGATAGTTGGATAATAAACCATTTTATTGTAATTTGTCTTTTTAAATTATTTTGAGTCGATATTAAAATTTGGAAAAGGGGTATCCTAGATCGGTAAAATAGGCAAATTTCCTCCTACAACTTCAGGTGGCACCATCATTACAGG